GAAAATATAAAAAAGGTACCGGTATGAATGTTTGGCGCTCCAGAAGTATGTGGACCAAGATGGCGGACACCGGTACGTGGTATGTGTACCAGGTTAGGGGTCTATAATGACGTTTTTTTGTAGCGTAATATTCAATCCCTAATAACTAGGGAATTCAAACTGTCTTTAAATTTTGATCTAATTGTGTTCAACTCGCGATTGCGTCCACCATAAAAAAAACATTACCTAATGTCCTAATACATATTAAGGCGACACCAAAAAAATGAAAATGATCATACTCGCCTAATAAAACGACCCCCCCCCCCCAAAAAAAATCAGGCCTAAAATTTGGGCCTTAGAAAAGCGACTTATTCCCCGGGAAATACGGTATGGTATGTTGCTGAATCAAAAATTGTTATCATATGTAATATTAGTTAATTTTCTGATTGAGCAATGCTAGAATGTACAGAATTGATTGGTTTGAAAAACTTAATCTTTAATGCTCAAAACAAAAATTAATCAGGTGTCTATGAAACTAATGGATATTTGACATTATAATAGTTGTTCAATAAACAATATTCACTTTCAAGTAACGAAATGAACTTTGGCAACTTCATTCAGAAGTTCTGGCAAACAGTGAAAACAAAATAACATAATAAAGTTTTTATATATGGCCATTGATCCGATATAACAGCAAACCCTCAAAAGAAACTCTAAACTTCTAATAATATCACGAAAAGACTCTATTCTATCGCTTTGTAGGGGATTATCATGTGTGCTCCATATATTCTCATGGCTGCCATAATTAGATAGTGAGATACTTTGCACACTTGAAATGACATCCCCATCAATTCGAATAATTATGGGAAATCCTTGCCAAGTACGGTAAGGCGAGCAAGATCCTTATGCACAAACTGAATTCATCCTTTATTTGAATCGATAACTAAAACCGACTTCTCATCGCTCCTGACTAAGCAGATACATACTATATATGACGTAATAGGTCCAGTCTGCAAGTTTGCACACTCAGGGTGAAATTTACCATAACAGTATCCCAAGTTCCAGATATGTTTCCGGCGAATTATTGAAATACAATACGATAGCGAATTTTTTTTCCTGCTAATCCTCAAATTATTGTCAAAAGATAACCTGGTTTAAGTTTGTCACTCTCAATGCACAGAATGCTCAGTGGAGACAACCTTTACTGAGGCATTGTCGATCTCAGTTTATTTTTGATGCTTTCGAGCTTTGAGAAAGATCTCTCTCCTGAGCAGTCAGTGACCATTAAGATTAGAAATAGTCCTAATATTGTTTCCACACTAGGAAAGACAGTGTGAATTTTTTCCTTGCGCATAATTTCATAAAGGTATCCATGATACAATACGTTGCTCTTCTGTTCTTCTGTACCGGTGATCCCATGGTTTTGTGTTTGCTTCACGTACAGATGAAAATGTAGAAGTTCATCAGTAAGTTTTGGGTCAACATCTTCTGGATACGCTTCCTTTAAAAGTTTTACGCCTCGTACAATTTCTATACCTTAGTTGCTTTCAGTTTAGCAAGAAAGAGAAATATTTCTGCAATGTCACTGTACACATTAGCTCTTCTTCTTAAATTGGCTTCAAGTGCGTCGAGCATTGGGATAAAAGAATTCATTTTAAATCTGTCCTTTGAAAGAGAGTTCACTTAAAGCAGGGCGTGCGAACTGCGGCCCGCGGGCCAAATGCGGCACGCAAAGAAGAATTGGGCGGCCCGCGAATGAAGGATGTGCCCTCGAAACGAGCTCTTAGTTTTATTAATCTGGAACGTGTGTGCAAATCAACCTCCTAGCGTCGCGAAGCCTATACCAGTACCCGAGTGCCACTGTCATATCAGTGAAACTAGCTAGCAAGATCCTGTTAGAAAATACACAATGTTATAAAAGGGTGTTTCTTTTTAATTGAATTCGTTTAAAGTCGGTGTGACAATAAATTCAAACAGCAGTTTTCTTTAGAAATATTTACGTTTCAATTCAACATTTCTGCCAGGACCCCGAACAGTGTCGTACGATCGATAACAAAAAATAAATAAATTTTGTGCTTTCAACTATAATAGTGACTCTATTTAGGAAAGTCTCGGGATACGAATAATAATATTGCTTCTACTAACGTAAGATTTTCTACATACAAAAGGCCGAAATAAAAAAAAACGCGTATAGTGATACTTGTTTATTTCATTTTTACATTCGTGTGCGGCGCCACTTTTATCGAGATAGTTTGTGCGCCTCGGCAATAAATCTAAGTTGTGTTGTGATTTTAATTGTTTTCATCTTTTCACTTCGATAGTGACCGAACATAAGGGCCGACCTCCGTCCTCCCACTCTCCACGGTCTCCGCTTAGCCTAGTAAATATTATGTCCGAGTTTTATGGGAGCTTGGAACGAAATAATGTATTTTCATTCTGTTTATTCATTCATACTTACGAAATTTTCTACTTACGAAGGGGGTTGGAACAAATTTATTTCGTTCCGATTATGGAAACTCCTTCGCAAGTAGAAAATTCTTTATTGAGGTACACATGGTAAAAAGAAATAAGAGAGAAATACCGAATAAAAAATACAAATTTTTCGTATTCAGAGGCTTTCGTAGGTAGAGTTCCTAGGAGCGGCCCGCGGCTTCACCCAGTTGCTTGTATTTGGCCCGCATGTAAAAAAGGTTTCACACCCCTGACTTGAAGCGTCAGGTGCATTTCTTTGTCTCCTAGTGAAAGCTTTATAGTTAATATTCGGCAAGGTTGCTTTTGCTTGCTGATCAAACTCGTCAAACTCATCTCTAATTTCGCTTAGAAAGTCTAAAAGTGAACTGTACAATTCGACACAAGTACTTAATAACAATTCAGATTTCTGAAGGGCTTTGCTAACCCTGTGAAAACGACCCAGCACTCCGGACCAAAAATGCAACATAAACACAAATTCCAATTTTTCCATTTTTTGCAAATAGTTGTTAGCATAAATACTTGGTATAGAATTTTCTACTCTAAAAAGCTTGATATATAGATGCTAATTTAATACGCTAAAACTGGCAATGATATGTATTATAAATTCTAACCTACGTGCAGACTTATATACAACTTATTTCTGATATTTTTCGATTATCTGTTATATGCTTGTCATAACCGTAATTTTGTAGCATTTTGATACCTTGTTATTAACGGTGCATACATCGAGAGGCTCGCATGGAAGCAAATAAATTGAGGCTATTGTATTACGCCGAAGTACACTTGTTATCGAGAGGAAAAGTTATGAAACGAGTATATCGACTGCGGAAAGGACTGTCTGTTTCTCTAACCCAAGAAAAACATTCGATGGCTACTGGTTCCCAAGAACTCTTTTGCCTGGCAAAATTGTCTTATCTGACAACAATATTTGAAATCACAAATCAGCTAAATTTATTGATGCAAGGGAAAGGATGTGATATTATTGAAACTAGTAGCAAGATTCCGGCTTTTAAAATAAAATTGGTGTTGTGGCAGACTAATGTTGCAAATGAATTCGAACGATTTTCAATGTCTTGGCTATTTCATTAAGACTTGTGAATGGGAAAACGAAAACCCAAGCATGGAAATCAAGATAAGATCAATTGTACATGCGTATCTTGATGTGCTACAGCTGAACTTCGGAGCCTATTTCCCGGATGTTGAATATCAGAATCTTGGTTTTCTAATATGGTTCGTTTAGCCATTCACAAGTGAAGAGGTTGCTCGTGCCCAACTAACTGGTGAATGAATTAGGAACATATCCGGTACAAAGGCAGAGTTTAAAACATATATATAAAAACTACAACGACATTTAGACAGCACTTTTAGAAGTTTCCGAATATCGCAATTTTTAACAAAAAGCTGTCACCATTCTCGTACGAATGCCTACAACATATCATTCCGAACAAGGGGTTTCTGCACTAGTTGAAATTAAATAAAATCAATCAAGGGTGTACTGTAGAATGTAGATACTTTAATGATAGGGGCACTGGAAACAAGCTTATTACCTCTCTTTGCACAACTGACTGATGGAATAAACGTTCACATTAGCTAAATAGCGAACTATTGCCCCGGCATAAACCCTTATATATACTCGTATATATGACTTCCAAACATTGAGTTTTTACATATTAAAAATGTAGAATGGGCGAGGTGTACCAGATTTTGGGAAGGGGTTAAAAGAGTGTATCATTCCAAAAAAGTTGAGGAGTACTGGTCTAGAGTCTAGACCAGGGGTGGTCAAGATTTTTGAACCAGGGGCCAAATATTTTGCCTACCCAGATTGGCGGGCCATGTCAGTGTGACCTAAAAAGTTACATTTTATGAACAATATTTACAGTGTTACAAAAGCAACAGTGGTAAACAGTAAGCCTCTTGCCAAAAGTAAATTTAATCGCAATCTCAACAAATTCCTTGAGTTTTGTTTTAGCTAAATCATCAAAATTTGGTTTCAGTATGATTGTGGCAGCATTAGGCGGACTAGATTGAATAGCCGAACCGGATTTGGCCCACGGGCCGTTCTTTGCCCATGTCTGGTCTGGACTAATAAAAGGCTGCATCTTCGCATTATTATGCGACAAAATGGGTGCAGAATACACAACTTTGTTGCTTCATATACCAAGACGGTCAGACCGTTTTCTCTGGGAGAAGTTTTAGGTTGTGTTCTTGAATGATGAAAAAAGTTTGGTGGAGTTGAACTGTTGGCAAATGATGAATGGTGTGCAATCAGCCTACGTGGCTGACACATTTTGACATTAAACACGCGAATGCAATGTCAAAATAAAAAATCTTCTTACAAGCACTGAAAAATATATGAATTTCATTTAAAGCTAGATCTTTGGCAAAATTGGCAACCTTGACCCGGATGTTCAAAGTCATTTAAGAATGTCGACATCCAATAACTGACTTAAGTTAATTAACAATTTAGGCTTGCGAAGTACACTATTCAACTAGCCTACCAAACTCACTTCTGTCTACTGACTTTCTCCGCTAGACATACCACTAGTAAATGCAATGATGTACAATAGTGATGTAACATTATGTCAGAGGATTTTTCTATCACAAATCACAATGACAGCCTCAAAATATATCAAGCACGGATATTGGACATAACTGAACGTAGATTCGTGTCATGAGAAAACAATAAAAACATATGGATCCTCATTGAACAGTAAGTAATGACAATACATATGAATCAGCATAATTAGTAACACAGATATGGCAGTGTATTTTAAAAACAATAATTTTCTACTGATTTGGTATACTGAAGTTAAAATTTTATGATGGAAAATGGTCATTGCACAAACCGGCATTATCCTGTAATTAAAAAGGATAGTAGAACAATATGAAATAAACAGATAAATGTGCGGCAATAATTTGACCAAATTTCTGATATCCTTAAATAAACAGATTTTTCAAATATTGTACCCACAAACTTTTGAAATTAAAAATGATAATTTTGAAATGTTAACTTCGTCAGTTTTGACTTTCACTATAAACTTGAGTGATCAATATTTTGAAAGCAGGTAGGTTGCTGGCTAGCAACACACTCTTTGTAATAATTTCCACTTACGGGGATGCCTAGTGCTTCCTGAAGTCTTTGGACATGTTGGAAAGTGATAGAATATTTCGATTCTTGCATAAATTTTTGTCTATTTTCATTTATTGGAAGAACAGTTTAGTCAGTGAAGCATGCCAAATCCTGGTTCAAATGCATAATCTGTATCATGTTTATAAACGGTTTGTTCGACTTTCCTCATGAATTAAATCAAGTCCGACATGGTGCCAGCTGAAACTCAGGAGATGGACATGGCTATAATCTTCTTCATACAGAATTAATAAAAGGTTATATTGTATCACTATGACCAGTTGTGATCATCAAGTTCTGGTATTTTTATTAAAAATTGCAGTGCCCGGCCATTTGCGGGTATTCAGGCAGCTGGTCCAGATTTATATCTCTCCTGTTATAATTTTAATAAGTCATCTTTATCACTCTTTGACTAAATACAAATCATTATCTTATTTTGACTGTTTGACCATCAATCCTTTGCTTTGTTTGCTATTGTGTTGTTCCCAATATTTTGATTTCATCGAGAGATCTAAAGGAGTGTCTATGTCTTCAACTTGTTGTGGCCGTTCTTTGCAGCAAGTGAGGTTGCACTAAAGTATATCATATAAACACTATTCTGTAAATTTACCCAAAAATTCAAAGCTTCCCCATTTTGAAAAGTACAATCTAAGCAAATATAGCTGATCAGTTATAAATAGAGTCTGTATATAATTTTTCTCATAGTTAATTTGGTTATTCATGGAATGTTTGCTACAGTTTTTATTTTATCATGCATATGCGATGAAAAATTGGGAATTTGGCATTAGGGAAGGTAAGTATTTGCAATTTATAGCTGAAATTACCCTACCATGTGTTTCTTTTTTCGAACTCTTCGCATTGCTGCTTTTAATGCTTGCTTAGTGGCCAGAGCAACTAGACCTTCTTCGGTTAAAGATTCCTTCTCTATTGAGCTGCTATAAATATCTTCCAATGACTCTTTGCCGCTCATTGCTCTTTCCTTCATACTATAAAATAGGTTATGAGAAGTATGCTGTATTTCACTTACGCAATTGACTAACATGAATGAACAATTGCTTTTCGACAAATAAACCTTTAATTTACAACTGATGGCCAGGAATGCAGCCTATTCTGGCCCTAGTTTTTACCAGAAGAACTTTGTAACCCTTTGTAAGATTTGAAACATGTACAGAAGCTTGCACTCGATCGCTCCAAATGTTATCAAATTATCAATAGTTCAATGTTCAGTATACGAATATTATTACGTGCCACCTAAAATGTAGCTTCTGAGCTATATCTTGTTATTGATACGTCACAAACAGCCGACTGGAATGCCGACTTGTAATACCGCGTGCAATAAAATGATTTCAAATATTTTGAATACGGAATTCTTTTATAATAGAATGTTATTTAATTAATGTTATATATCAAGAGCGAGTGACGCGATCATATGCTAACGCAAAAATTATTCATTGCATATATATCCATTTAACATATATATTTCTGCTTGCTGGTCAAATCCTAATATCACATAGAAGAGGGAAAATTTAGTCGTTACCTATTTACTAGCTCTCTTGCCTGAACTCGTCCGAATTCTTTTCCGTGGTTGTGCGTACCACTTTTTCCTATGATTTTCGGAGGATCGGATCCTTCCAAAAGTCGTAATCTCGCTCTGCATTTAAACCCCCTGTCGTAGGCGCATATCCAATATGATTTTGCAGCGTTTCCGCTTTTTTTGCGAAATATGTAATCCCCAAAGGTTAGTAGTCTATGACCTTTTGTCGACAAAATATATCTAGGACTGAAATTGTTCAAGTTTAAAGTGTCCGACTCTACTTCGTTTGTTGAAGTATCTTTGAAATCCAATTTTGTTGCAGGAATTGCGTTTTGTCTGCTTCCGGGAAATGAACGGGCATTCGTCGAAATAAAGTTTTCCACCATATTGCTTGAATCAGTGGATAATTTATCTTGCTTCTCCGGCTTCAGACGATTGGAAATCTATGATTAGTTATTCCATAGTCGCATTCTTTAAATTAACTCTAGAGATGTTAAAAAATAAATTTTCAAAGATAATATTTTGCCCCGAAAAATTCGTTTATATGGCACCCCGACAGTCTTATATGAGGAGATCAATCATTCATTTGAACCCAACATCCATCCCTATTCTCCATGTCACTCAAACCATGCCAATCGGAAGAATATATTTCAGGCTTTATCACGAACGCTTCTGTAAAATATATATACGATGGAAAAATCTTCAAAAGGTAAATAGTTCTCTGTCTGAATATCAGTTTTAGCTAGAAAAATAGAAAGGAATTGACGTCAACGATACAAAATAATTACTTTGCCTACAGCACCGCGAGCCTAATCTGATAAAAGATTACCTTGTACTGTACAACTACCAAGCTTCCGACTACTGCAAGAGTGGCTGACCAGCAAGCACCCTCTTGCCGTGCAGGGCTTACACTAACAAATTGTGCAACGAAACAAACAAAATCACGCAATCACCTTCAGTGAGCAGGCTACAGGTACCCTACACAGCAACAACAGTAACGAGAACATGCTAGTTTATAATGTTCGTGTATTATGCTGGCTGAACGCCAAAGTGGGACTTTTGGCTGACCGATCGACGTTAAAAAGTGGGACTGTCCCACCTAAAACGGGACGTATGGTAAGCTTATTAATAATAATAAAATTAACCAAACTATTAATACCTTTAATCGACACAACTTGACTTGTCGCTAAAACTACTAGATTTAGATACTGAAAAAGTGAAAACTGAGTATTTTGAAAGATACAACTGATACCGGTGCTTGGTCGACTTATAACACCGCCATCGAAAATTGGCTCATATATAAGTGTTTTAGTGTGATGCCTAAGAAAGAGAGAAAGGGAGAGCGAAGTGTGTCAATACCAGTTTAACCCATTTGTTCAACTGGAATATTTGTCCAATACTGTAGCTGTTCATTTTTTGTGCAAAGCAATCATCTCATTCTTGATAATTCCTATGTGTTACTGAAACATCTATTGAGATTTAGTATACCTTTCATAAGCTGTTTCCAATTGATAATCTCAGACCGACGTCAGCAATAGGTTAATCCGCGTCTCTCTCTCGTTTTGTGATTAGGCCGTGAAAGAGGCTCCTCGTTCGTTCTCACAGAAAAAATACCATGAGCGAAAATTTGATGTTACGTAACAGTCGAGTTACATAAAAGCCAAATTTGAAATATTTGAATAATAAGCGGAAGCCGTGGTAGTGTGGCAAAATTGTATCATTACGAAACGTCTTTGAAAGCAGTAATTACGAAATCAATGAACATTTTGTGTTTGTATTAAATCCTACGTAAAATAAGAAATTTCAATTGCCTGTAAGGTGAAAGTTTAGATTACTTAGAAATTTTATATTTTTAAGAGACGATAGCCGATCTGACTTGAGAAACTGAATTAACATGTTGTCGTTCGGATATCTTTTTATTCTTAAATACAGCTCCATCTACAACATAGTCTGTTTCGAAACATATGTTTCTGTTTCGTAAGTGGTATTTTTGAAATAGAACTTCACAAAACTGCATGAAAACGATCGCTGGCTTTATTTGAGTATATATTTGTATAAATTTTGGTTTGAAAACGTAGAATTTTCTTTATGACAAGTCGCTATGTTCGTGTTCGTCCAAAGCCCAGATGTGAAACAACGAGTGGACTCCATACGGATCTCTTTCAGTTTACATCACCAGTGCATTCAAAATCGCTAACAAACATTGAGTTTGAGCAATATATTTGAAAGTCTTATTATGTAATACTTCATATCATTTTAAGCGTATTCAGACTAGCGCATGGAGACCGAACTTGAATCGGTAAAGCAATCCCATTCAATACATCATCGTGACAAGGGACGTGATTTGAAAATTAATTTCAATACATTTAACTTAACGCCTACTGAATATTGATGTAGTGGATTACTAACAATGTTTCGTCTACAATGTAGACTCTACAATCTACATGTATCAAGGCTACAAGTGTATACATTTTCCTGTTACTCGAAATAACCCCATTCGGTTGTGTAGCTTCATATTTATATTTAGCAACTTAATATGGAGTGGTTCAGTAACCTGCAACAGAATATATTGAAAAAATTCCTAAAGGTACGCTAAATATTACAAAGAAAATAAAACATACAAATAGACAATTTCCCCCTCAGCCTAACTTTAGGCATTTGGTTAGCATGATTTTATTACGTCAAATTGTGTCGTCGCTTGTGCCAGTTGTATATTGCTATACAAAGGATAGGAGCCAGTCATCATATTTCCCACTAAAATATCGTCACGCTAATAACCGAATTGCGTAAGTCATTTTTGGCGATTTTGAGTTTTTTTATAAAATAGGTATTTATGTAATGCTGCGCACCTGTCTGTTAACTCAGATTTTATTTTAAGAATTCCGAAACCCATAAAAATAGAGATTTAGTATGACATGCACTTTTATGCAATTGTTACGTCATAATGAATTATCATTGTTACCGCAGGACTATTGTGACGTCACAAAGGCGAAATAACCTCTGCGAAGTATTTTCGAGTTTTTGCATCTCGGATTCTAGCTTAGCGCGTATTAATTTGAATTTATACTACAGTATAGGAAGACATGCACTAGTGATATTCACTGTCCGAGTCCAATTCACCTTGGTTGGCTTTTATATTGGGTGCATATCTGTTTTATTCTTTATATTTAATCTTAGTCTTATTTTGGTGGGTGTGCAGAACGTGTTATATTATTGAAATATATATTTTTAAACATAAAAAATAATGTAATTGAAACTGATTAGCTATTCTTGGAATTAGACATTGTAGATACTGAAAATTACATTCGTTTTTGGAATGTTTAGTTTTTAGGACTGGTGCATATAGTAAAGTTGCAAAATTGCGTATGTCCCCAAGTCATAGACACATTTCTGCCTAAGTCACGGTGCGCCATTATGACGTCACTTAACTGCGTCATAGAAATTAACTTAAATCCGGCTACGATCAAAAAATTGAACCATGGCAAATTATTGACTCTCCATGGCATAACAATTTCATTAGGAGGTTTTTTACGTTTTTCTCAAAACTGCTAAAAATGACTTACGCAATTCGGTTATTAGCGTGACGATATCCTAATTTATTTACTACAAAGTATATTCAAAACAAGACTGGTTAAGCGAATGTTTTGAAATAAATATCGCTGAATAAATTCCTAGTTTGCGACAGTGGCGTAAATTATAGAAACCTTTCCAGTATTAAGCAGTTCGGAGGCAAAATAAGTTTCGTTTATATATTTGCATGGAGTGACAAAACATGTAGATAGTAAGTTGCAAAATACGAATTGTGTCTTGAATTAGAAATATTTTTTCTTTTATTTATTTAAATTAATATATAATGCATTTGGAATGATGCTCCTGTAATTTTGTTTTTTCGCAGTATCTTTTTGATATCTTGTTAGCATTTCATTTCAATGAAGGGAAGGAATGTGACCTGCTTCAGTTTTTTGAATTGATCATCATGCTGAATTGTGGGGCAGGGGGCGATATATATTTCTATTGGGAAGAATCTATTTTCTTCAAAACTAATTTTCAACTTTTCATGAAGCTGAAGCGCTAGAAGGCTTTTACTTTTATTTCTTCTCACCCCTATGGGGCTTGCTATTTCATCCCAAGTTGTGATTTTGCTAAAATGATTGCGCCACCACGTGGAATTATTACATAACAAATTCTGTCGCATCCAAGGGGGTATTGATAGGATGTTATCTTCTGAATGAAAAATATAATTTATTTATTGTACAGTTATATGTTCCCAGTTGGAATATTTATTCATTAAATGTTGCCAATTGTAACTTTTCAAAATTTTCATATTTTATACATATCAAAGCTAGAGTTCTGTATAGGCAAGCATGCATTAAACTATCTTTATTGGACTTGAAAACTATAGTACTGATTTAGAAAAAACAATGGGGACAACTGATTCAAAGTTGCCATAAACAACGTTTTATTCATTCCATATATATACAGTCAGTCGCTGGTCATTACAAGATAGTACTAACATCTCAGCGATGAAAACTAAGGCCTGTCTTAGTTTTTAACAAGTTATAAACTATTTGCGGTTAAAAGTTTCGGGCATTCGTTTGATGAATGATTTACTAATTCACGATTTCATTGTCATTTTTAATATGTATTGTGACGGGTGACCGTACATTTGAACCCACGTACATTTGAACCCATGTGTATATACGCGGGTTCAATCTATATGCGGGTGCTAAAACCCATGGGTTAGGGTTAGTATGGGTTCAAGCATCCGTAAAACAAAAAAATTCCATAGGTGCAATGGTATGTAGGTGCAATTGTCGTGGGTTCAAATGTAATGGAACCATTGTGATGACATACTATTCAGTATAATTTTGAAAGTTTCTCTTCATAAAAATTTCTTTAATTTTTTTATAATGCTTCATTTTAGATTGTTTAAGTACGTTGAAGACCACTGATATAAGCTCGTGATCATACGCGTCCGCGTTATAAAAATAAATGCTAAGCCGTTCCTAAGCCGCTTGTTTGAGTATTATTGCTGTCGTTAAAACAAAGCTCTACCTCGAGAAATTGTTACGGAAAAGTCTCCGATAGGTTGAAGAACCGACTACGCATTGATAGGGTTCACAGAAGAAACGATCACAATTCTTAACTAACATTTATTTACTCTGAAAAAACTTTTTACTTCTATTAAAATTTTTTGAAATTTTGACAGCAACTCCGGCGATTCAAATGTATAACTGCGATGACAATGTCAGCAAAAACCCAAACTTCATCATACATATATATATATATCCAATTTAGGGTTCCAGGAATTAGACGTATGCAGCTAGTCCACTATGAGTTATCAAGACTGTTATTATTATTATGCTGATATCGGCGTGGATGGTAATATGGCGTTTATTGCCTGGAATTAAGGGAAAATATTCTCAATTAGAAATTTGAATAAGTATATGCTGTAAAACCAAGCAAAATAGTTGAAAAAGCGAGACGAAAGGAAGAAATTCTTCAATGTTTTGTATATTTTACACAATTATGCGATCGAGAATCAAACGATAGGCCTACAATTTAACGTATATAACCAGTTACCAGATAATCGAAACTGACTGAAGGCAAAATGTATTACGACTAATTTTTCTAGTGAGCATTCACTACGCAAAAAGAGGATTTGCCATCTACGAGTATAAACAGTATCTCTATCT